CCTAACATTAACAGAGTACATAGAAAATCCTATGCCACAGCTTCAGACACCTAGCATGTTGATTTACCATTGCTGACTGTCATTTCAGGTTTTGAGTTTATAAGGTCTGTTTCTAATTGTCAGAAAGGCCTGAAGTGTGTCTGAATCTTCTTTGACCTCAGGGATAGAACAGTGCTAGACACATAGCAAGTGCCCATAAATATTAATATTTCTAACTGAATATATATATTTGCTTTATATGCACTTATCTTCTTGACACTTCCTCTATTCCTGGAAAGACCTTCTTGCCAAATTTTAGTACATCAGGGTGACACTAGAGCAGCTGTACTTTCTCATTCAAAAGGATAATCTGCCTCATAATTTGATGCTTTCACTGGAAAAAGGACTGCTGACCTAATCTAATTTCATCTTTTTATGAAATCTAAGTCCACGGACCATTGATTAATTAACTCAATAGATGAATAATTCTGTGTGCCAGGCCTGGGGATAGAATGGTAAGGCGAGGTCCTTCTTTACATGGAGCTTACATTTCCTTTGGCTTATGGTCCTAGTGGTGTGCTTAGTTTTTCTTTTGAAATGTTTTCAGTCTTTGCTCTGCTTCATTGGTAATCTAAGAACTGCATGAAACAATTGAGTTGTGAGAAATAAATACTGTCTCCAAGCCATGTCTAAAATCCATCTACTTGTCTCCTGTCTGCTGCTGCCAGCTGAATCCAAACTCTATCATCTCTTACTTGGCTTCGAAGTGGTCTCCCCACTTCCATTTTTCTTGTAAAACTTAAAGTCAGGTCACGTGACTCCTCTGCCTACAACCCTCCAGTGGCTTTCCTGGCTAGTAAAGCCTTGTTTACTGTTCTGTCTTCATCTCCCTCTATTCTCTTCCTTGCCCTCTCTCTTCCACCCACACCATATGAGATGGACAAATGCCACACCCATTTCCTCCCACCTTCAGCATTTACATAGCTATTTCCTCTGCCTCTAATGATCGCTCTCTGATATTTGCACAACTGGCCCCTTCTTGTCATTCAGATCTCAGCTTAAATGTCACTACCTTAGAGCTTTTCCTATCACCTATTCTAAATTTACTAGCCCCCAATTACTCTCTGGTACATTGCTCTATCTTATAATCTTTGTCTTATTCATTTATCATCTGACTTCCTTCATCAGAGTATAACCACTATAAAACTGGGGGCTGTAGCTTATCCACTGCTCTCTTTGTACCTCTTAGAATAGTATCTAACTCACATAGTAGCCCTTCAAGTATTTGTTGAGTGAATGATTTTTCAATAAATCAGATGCGGATACTTAGAGAGTGCTTATTTGATGGGAAAGATTGATGTAGACTGCAATGTAGAAATAATTACCAATAAACTCCTGGTTTTGAGTAGTGGTAAACTAAAAGACACTGTTGTTTTGTTTTGTTATAATAGAATGTTTCTTTTTAGTAGCTTTTAGTTTGAATAGAATTCTCAAAATGGAGGTAAGGAATGGCTTTATATTAAACTTTTATTTTAAGGTTAAATATTACTGTAGAATTATGTAATTTGGGAGAAAGACTTAGTTCAGAGTGTAGAACTCAATGTTTTTTATCAATTCAAGAAGGTTTATCTGTTATTTTAAATATTTGAAAAAATTCAACTGAAATTAAAGGGAATTCAGTTAATTCAAAAAAAGTTTAACCAAAGATCTACCATTAATATATATGCTTGTGAATTGCCATGCTTCTGAAAGTGTAGAAAGTACTAAAAACAGGGTCAATACTAGTGGGCTCCCCACATTCAAAATAGTCAAATTTGAGGATATTGGCCCAAAATTGGAATGGGTTTCTCTTGAATCTGTGTTTGCATAGTGAGCATGCTGTTGCTACTTAGACGTGTGCACATTTCTGGGGATGAGGACTGATGTCTGGTGGAGGTTGTGGAGATCCCCTCAGGCCCCCCATTCCAGTCCCTCTAGTCTTGTCCCCAGCAACTCCTGTCTAGTGAGGGGCCTAAGACATACAATGGACTGAGTTACTCAGCACAAGGCAATATGTACGATTTGTTTTAAATGGATATTGATCATCATAGGAATTCTGGAGTTTTCAAGATCAATGTAGGATGGTTTTGGTCAGGAGCAGAACTCAATAGAGTTTTGTAGCATATGTGATGATATTACCTACCACTGATTGTGGTTAATGTGTGCCAGGCATTGCAGCTCCATAGTATCCCCATAAAATATGAGTTGCTTTCTCCATTTTAGGAAGAGGAGACTGAGGCTTAGAATGGTCAGAGTTTCCCCAACGCTTCTCAAGTGGATGGTAGTAGACCTGAGTTCACAACCAGACCTTTCTAAAACTACTTGTGGAGAGAAGGCAGGAGAGCAGTCTGGACCCGGGCCAGGGGGAGCCAGGAGGAGCCAGGAGCAGAGATGGCATGAGTTAGGGTGCAGGCTCAATGAAGGGACCACTTCAGCCACCCCAGGGGATCCAGGTTGGTAAGTGCGATAGGAGGGCAGAACCATAGGATGGTCAGATTGTGGAGGAGCTAAAAGCCAAGCTGAGGGGCTGAGACTGTTTTCTGCAGTGAAAAACAGTTGTGGGTTTTTAAGTTGGGAAGTGTTGGGGTTGGTAACTGAGTGCAGGAGGGGGAGTAGGAAAGGCAGGGAGCCCGGATAGGTAGTGTTGAGAAAGGTTTTAATTAGGGTGGTAGAAGTGAGATCAGGAAGAAGTAGGCCTCTGAGGACACCATCAAGTTCCTCTTGTTACCACTTAGTCCCCTGCTCATGAGAAAATCCTTGGTTGGAACATGAGAAAAGAATAGTATTTTTAGTGAAGATCATAACTGATTTCCATTTATGTCTCCTTCTGTTTCATCTCTGCACAGTGCAGTAGTGAATGTGCATATTTGTAAATGTCAGAATTCTTGTTTTACTTGATTGGCACATTAGACCTGTTCATATGCTTAGTCCTTATTTTGCTGCACATACATCGTGGCTGCATGCCTACAACCTGAATAAAGTTACAGGGCCTCAAACCCACAGGACATCAGAACCGTAAACTCTCCACTTGAATATTCTCATTTAGCTTTCCCAAATTGTCAGGGACCTGGGAATTTCCTGTTAATGCTTGTGTTTCTATTCAGTGTCTCCACGGACTGCTTGCATGTCCAGTAACTGCAGATGAGGGTTCTGCCATGACAGCAGGGACCACTCAAGGGGCTTTTATTCTTAGGAATGAGACCAGCAAGAGGAAATGAATCCAGGTTAACCAGGGCGAGTGTGATAATTTGTAGTTGGGAGAGATCTACAGAACATCAGCACTGACAGAGACTGCTGGAGTCGGTTAGGCCAGGTGTTTTGGGCTGAGTCTGGGCCTGTCCCTGGTGGAGTGAGAAAAAGCATCACAGCAGGGACTCAAGGGCTCCTCCACCCTTTCTTTAGTCAGAACCTTTCAATGCGTGTCAGTTTTATATATTAGCACTCCATGGAAGTGTTATTTTAAAAAATAAAAGGCTGAAAAATTAGTATCTGGCTATTCCTTCGTGGTACAAAGGAAAAGTCCCAGCATAGGAACATGCATCATCTGAGCCTTGAGTTGTTGGCAGATGACCTGGAATGCTCTGTTCGTTTTTAAACATTGTATGGTCATAAAAGTGCCTTTTGGAGCCCTATTCTGGGCAGGAATGGTGCTGTCAGGAGTTGTGGACCCTCACTTAAGTTCCCATTCCTGAAACTTTGGTGTTATCAGTAATCAAGTGGCCAAGCCTGTGAAGCAGACCCTTGTTCCCACTGGGTTCCCAACGCCATGTCAACTCAGGTTTCCACCCTTCCTGGGGCAGTTGAGGCACTTTTTCAGCCCTTACAAGTCTCTTGCCTGTCCATGAAATTTGAGGATTAGCCTAGCCAGCTGAATAAAACAGTCCAAAAGGATCACAGGGTGCCAGCCCCGCCTCAGGGCCACAGGCTGCCTGACAGTCTATCGAATAAAGTCCTCTCCTGGAGGCAGCCTCAGCTAGTTGGATCACTAGTATTAGGGCACCAGTAGGACATGTTGGAGTTATACCAACCCAGGGTCCGAGTCATTGCTCTGCCACTTATAGCTCTATGACCTTGGACAAGGTACTTACCCGCTTTGGCCTCTGTTTCCTTACTATTGTAGTAAATTGAGGAATCTCATAAAATTATGTCTAAAGTAAACTTGGAGCTGGGATTTGATTTTTTACCATTTCTGTGAACTCTACTTTCTACTAGGACTTCATGAATTGCCCTGAAAGTTATAACCAGCCCTCCAAGAGCAGAGTCTTGAGTGACTGGTAGAAAATAGGCGCAGGGTCTACAGGTCCTTCATCTCCCTGGGCCTTTGCCACACTGGACCTGGGCCTGCGTTATGGGCTTTGCCAGGATAAAGTAGATCATCCCAGTTCCCATCATGTCAGCTGTCTAGGAGTTAAGACCCCTGCCGCTCCTTCTGCACCTTGCAGAGAGTGCCAAGACATAGGTTTGACCTTTAGGCCAACCAGCAAATCCAGCAGTCAAAAGTAATTTTGGAGTGTCTGCTAGTTAGTAGCCCTGTAACTGAGGCTGTGAAAGACTGAAAAGAGGATGCACTGGAATCTCCTTCTCTTGAGAAGCCTATGCATGGTTGATTCCTAGCTGCCCTTTCCCCGTCCCCTCTGCAACTATACCCAGAAAGTTTAACAAAGCAAACAGCATGTAATTGTGTTTCGTCAGGAGAATCGTTCTTCCTTAGACTTGGGTGATCTCTACTGCTTTTTTTTTTTTAACTTAGGACAGTGATTTTATATAGACATACATATAGATGTGGATATCCTTTGATCTGAGAATTACTTTGCTTCCTCCTACCAGATGAAATGAGCAACCAGTGAGCAGACAGGACACTTCTGATGAGGGGTGGCCTCCCCATGAAAAAGAATCCCCCCATAATCAGAGCTGTCCAGTTAGAGACCGTCTTGTGAGATAATAAAGATGATGAATATTTACTTAACTAATATGTTTGATAAATATGTTAAATATGATAAATAACTAATATGTTTGATAAAAATTCATCCTGCCTTATGGTTTCTCACAACAATCCTATGAGAGGCATGGGCAGTATCAACATTATTCGAGATTTACATATGGGAAATCCAAGACTCAAAGGATTTAAGTAGGTTGTCAGTGATCACAGAGTTAGTTAGTGGGAGATCTGGGACTTAAAACCAAGTTATTTAATGACTCTGAATATCCTGCGTTTCCTGTTATATCACGCTTCTGCCGAGAGGCCGCCATTACCAGAGGGTCTCAAGCAGAGACTTGTCGGGAATGTTGTGGAAGGCCTTGCAGAGTAGCTTAGTTGATTGCTGTATGGTTTAAGGAACCACAGCATTCCCTCTATCCCCACCCCCAAACTCCCACTAATCAGCTGGCCTCAGTTGGCCTTTATCACGGCATTTCTCTGAGTCAAGCCCTGTTCCAGACAGGGATGAGCATATGAAGAGCTGCACATTCTTCCCACAACACCTTTGTGCAGGTACATGTCCTAGATCACTCTGCTCTCTGATAGAAATCTGAGGCAAAAGGAGGCTCATTCAGCAAACCTTTTTTGAATAATTCCTTTTTGTCAAGAGCTGTACCAAGCGTTGGGAATACAGAAATTAATCTCACACATCCCTGTCCTCAAGAAACTCCTAGATCTGTGGGGGAAACAGACAGAATGCTGCATTGTTGCGCGGTTGGCAGCAGAGGAGAGAGAGTGACTAACTGACCTGGGATACTGCTGGCCCTGGAGGGGGCTGCTGAGGGCTGCCCTGCATGCGCAGCAGGTCATGTTTAGGGATAATCTGGTCCAGCTGGCCCGTAGACCCACGAAGGGAGGTCTTGACATATTTTGGGAATGTCAATGGCTAAATTTTGGGATTTGTGAAGAGTCTTAATGGAAGAAAAAAATTGGAGAAATAAAATTTTGTATGCCAGGCTGAGACGTTTTTACTTAATCTTGTGGGCACTGAGAAACTAGTGCAGGGTTAGAACAGGCAGGCAGCAAAATCAGATTTAGAAGAATTGCTCTGGCAGATTTTTAGAGAAGGAATGGAAGAGGGAAAACCAGCCACTGACGCAAGAAACTGAGGAACGCTGAAGCCACAGCTAAGACCATGGGTGTGGGTGAGGATGAAAGGACAGCTTAGGCAACCTTTGGGAGGCAGCATCACAGTCAGTGACTGATTATAGTGCAGTGTGAGGAAGAGAAAAAAGTCAAGAGTGACTCGCAAGTTTTTAATTGAGATCTGTCTCCCTTATCTTACAAAGATTGCAACCCAAATGCTGAAGACTCTCCTTCATGCAAGTTTCAGAATACTGCCACAAACTGGTAAACATTTCTCTTTTGGGGGCTGACATCTTGTTTCCTTTTTCTTAACTCTGTTCTGAAATTGTTACAGCAATTTTTGTACTTCGAGGAATTGATGAGAACCTGGTATGTATTATACACTCAGTAAATAAATAAGCAGGTAAGCGAGGTCACTAATCATGGTTAGCACACAAGACCACGCTAGTTATGGTAAAGTTGTGGTCATAAAATGTGACTTCTGTGATTCTGAAGCAGCTTATACATTTGTGCCAAAATTATGTTTGGTAAAACTATGATTGGTAAAATACATAATTCTGAAGAATTTTTCAGTACTTAAGCTTCCTATGAAATGTAGCCCAAGTGTCACCATACACTGTGTTCACTTATAACATTGGTCATGCATGATCATTATAGCAGCAACAGCCACAGGAAGATGAAGTAATTAGATCACAATGAAACAGGTTGCATTCTCATTCCTTTAAACCTTCTGCCTTCCTCCCCAACCTGCATGATTCTGATGGGGGGTGGGATGTGTTACGTGATTTACCCAGGATCCCAGGCGTGCCCTGGGTTCGACTTATTTCCCTAGACTAATCCAGCTCCCAGCCTGGATCCTGAGCATACCCTGCATTAATCAGACTTGCTGGAATGATCACATGGTTCTCTAGCTGCCTCCCGTTAGCTGCCGCTTGTCAGCAGCTGGCGGAGCTGGAGGCTGCAGGCCCCTGTCTGCAGAAAGCCTTTTACTTCAGAAAATTGGGGGGTGTGGAAAGCCCGCCTCTTTTTTCTGCACTTTGCACCATCTGACTGACTAAATGGTTGTCCTCCGTACCCAAAAGCCTACCACACAATCTAAGGAAATTGTCTCTCACTAGGTCATGTTTGCATTTGAAGAATTCAGGTATGTTCTGGGTTTTCTACATCAGTCTGCTGCTGGGTTTTTGTTCTCGCCGGGTTTTTGCTGTGTAATGACAGCTTATGCTCTGGCTGGTTCTCACAAAAAGCAGGGTCCCTTTCAGCATTTGGTGGGGCTTTTCCCAGTCATGGTGGTGGGAGGAGCAGAGGTGGTGCAGGTCAGGGGTGTTTACTGCATGGGAAAGTGCAGCACGGATAATTGGTTTGATCATGTGTAAATTTGTCGAGGACCCCACCTTGTGCCTCATTGAGCTGCTGTTGCTATTATAGAGTTATGAATACAGAATAGCAACTGTTTGTCCAGAATGAGTCTCTTGCTATCTTTTGTTTTTCTTCCTTTGTCAAACTAGTGCAGTCTAGTGCTCTTTTTAAAAAATGCTAATTGTAGCAGTGAAGGTGAAAAATTCTGCAGGTCTGTCCGCATAGTTGAGATTTGATTTTTGGCTCTGATTTTCCTCATTATTGTTAGTAGTAATCTCGTGGACAGGGTGTTTTCTGGGAAGTGCCCTGATGATGTTTTGTTAACAGGGTCCTTTGCTTTCATAAGCTTTCCAGCTGCTGTAATTATTAATGCTCCAGATTAGATCTTTTGTGACTCTTATTTCTTCTCTTTCCTCCATCTCTTCTCCAGAAATCTGTCTGTAGGTACAAATGTGGGAAGGGATGTTCCAACAGAGATAGTTTCTAAGAAATGGAAATAAAGGAGGCAGAATGGGAGGGTAATCAGATTCTTCTGCCTCTTTGAAACATATGGAAGAGAGTATCTGTGTGTGTGTCTGTTTCTGACCTCTGACAGCTTCTCATTTTTCAAGTGGTATTTCTGTGTATTTTAGAACTGAGTGTAAGTGTATTGATGGGCAAAGAGAGTGGTTGTGCGGGAACGTCCATTCTACTTCTACAGGCCTTTTTTGTTCCCTCCAAATGTTGCTGCATAGACATTAAAATAATAAGAGAATAACCACTTTTCATTATTGTAAGAGAAAACTAGAGACCTTTTAGCCAACCAAGGGAGTAGACAAGAGAGGATCATTACATTTCCACAAAGAGTAGTCGAGCTATAAATGCTATCCCCCGCCCTTTTCTGTAAACTTGATGCTCTGGATCCAGGAAGTTATCCTTTGTTTAAGAGCATGCCTCTGCATTATTTTTATGGACTGGGCTTGTGTAAAGGAAATTCTTTCTATGTGGCAACGTGCTCCAGTGACATGGGGGCATCACCCTCACAAAGTGGCCAGAGCTTATTGTTTTATAATGGCTCCATTAGATAATAACTAGCAAAAATTTATTTAATGTCTCATGTTGCAGTGGAATGAATTGAGAGTCCTGAGTTCTAGTTTCAGTTTCAAAATTAGCTTTTGTGATCCTTATGAGAGTTATGGAAGAGTTCCATAGTTTGTAGAAGGTAATACAATTGTATTGTAATACAATATTTCATTGTTAGCATTTACTCTAGAGAAAGTGAGCCTTAGCTACCCTCTTGAACAGAGCTTGGAGCCTTTCATTCCATTTCATAGTTAGAGAGGAGGGATATGTATCCACAAACCCATTCCCAATTGTGGTGGACTCCTAGTCCAAGAGCCAGGAGCTGGGTTTGATGAGGTAGAAGAGGGTGAGTTAAAGGCCTTTGTGCTAATTAACTGAGAAAGTGGGCCATCGTTATGGAAAGTTGACCAGAAAGGGGAGGTCTGTTATCCCCTACTTCAACCTTCTGCCTAAGCTGGCTGTGAACAATTTTGCTATATATGATTGCATTTTGTGACTGCTGCATGGTACCAGACAAATGGCTTTCTTCTTTAGTCATCAGGTTTGTGTATGTGGGGGTCAAGTGATCATGGTGGGACAACATAGGGGCTGTAGAGGTGCTTAGCTTTCTAGCTTAGCTTAGGGTGGTTCTCAGGCTTTAGCATGCAGCAGAATCCCTGGAGAGCTCATTAAAATTCAGACTGCTGGGCCCAACTCCCAGAATTTCTGATGCAGTCAGTAGATCTGGGAGCAGATGAGAATCTGCTTTTCTAACAAGTTCCTAAGTGATTCTGATGCTGCAGGTCTAGGACCAGACTCTGAGAACCATTGGCTTACAAGGAGCAGACATCCCATCTCCATGTCTGCTCCTTGACTGTCATGGAGATGGGAGGTTGGAGGTGAAGGCAGGATGGAGGCACAGGTGAGAAAGAAGTCAGGAGCAGGAAGAAGCAGTTCAAGTACAAGTAGGTGGACCAGAGCCACCTGTTAAATTATGGCCAGGTCAGTTGGACACAGCAGCCCCTCCTTCTCCTGAGAAGGCCTTGCAGAACAGTAGAAAGAAATACTGGGATGATAATCAGTGAACTTGGTTTATAATCCTGGTGCTGCCATACACTACTTTTGCAGGCTTGGCAAGTCTCCTGATCTTTCTTAGTGCCAATTTTCTCAGCTGAAAAATAGGGAAAGTGATTTTTGCCAAGGAAATCTGTAATGCTGTTAGAATTAAATGGAATAATATAAACTTACTTTATAAATTATAGCAGTTCTTTATACATGAATATAAAGGGAGAAGCTGCCTGGGGGCAGCTCCATCAGGTCATCACATGTGTGTATAGGCCTCAAGTGGGACACACTCCTCCATACACACCCAGCCCTGACAGTGCAAGGTTGGCACGTGCCTGTTTATGTGCCATTACTCCTTATTGGACTATGAATTCCTTGAGAGCTTTTGTGAATCCTGTCTGTTTTTAACTTTGTTTCTTTAGTGCCTAAAACTGCTCAATACACAGTAAGGCCTTACTAAGTAGCTGGTGAAGAACGTGGAAAAGACAACACCTGACCTGAGGAAAATGTAGTGTCCTCAGCATGACACCCCTGCTGCTGGAGTGCCAAAGAGCTCCATCACGTTTCATTAAGGAATCTCTGCAGATGATCTCACTCTAGAATATGCTGATGGTTGTCATAATTTGCTGTTGCCTGGGTCCTAAGCTAGAGAGTTACAGGATCCTAAGAGCTTGAGAGGTTGGGCCAATATTTTCCAGCTAGTTAGGGGATATTTTTTGCCTGCACAAGACTGTATTGTTCTAATACCAGGCAAGCTGTCCTAGCTGGCGGTTGGGATAGACACACGTCACTTGTGTTTTTGCCTTTTTAAAAAGCTTTCTTTGGCCGGGCGCTGTGGCTCACGCCTGTAATCCTAGCTCTTGGGAGGCCGAGGCGGGCGGATTGCTCAAGGTCAGGAGTTCAAAACCAGCCTGAGCAAGAGCGAGACCCCGTCTCTACTATAAATAGAAAGAAATTAATTGGCCAACTGATATATATAGAAAAAATTAGCCGGGCATGGTGGCGCATGCCTGTAGTCCCAGCTACCCGGGAGGCTGAGGCAGAAGGATCACTCGAGCCCAGGAGTTTGAGGTTGCTGTGAGCTAGGACGCCACGGCACTCACTCTAGCCTGGGCAACAAAGGGAGACTCTGTCTCAAAAAAAAAAAAAAAAAAAAAAAAATCAAAGCTTTCTTAGACAAAATGTGTACTGAACTAATAGTTTTAAGTAAAAATTTACCTGTTACTACACACTACAGAGATCATCTATGTACTTTGTGAAACACCATTTCATTTTCCTCCTACCTCAAACTCAGAACAGTGACTACTTTCCCTAACCACCCCAGAATGAAGAGTTTTAAATGTGATTTTTCCATAATCCCCCAGTGAGAATAGAACTCAAGACTCAGAGACCTGTTTCTCAGAATTCCTGGTACTTGACTTATTCTGATTTATTTCCAAAAGGAATGTGGTATACCAGCCAACTCCAAGATCTAAAATCCACAAGTGGAATGTGTCAGTCACATGAAAATGGGAAGTTACTATTTTGAGTCTGTTTTATTTTAAATGAAACATTATCATGGGAGGGTTGAGGTTCAAACTCTAGCCAACTCTCTTTATTAATTTAAATTTATATCTAGTTTTTAGAAATGTGTTAGTCTGTTTTGCGTTGCTCTGAACGACTACCTGAGACTGGGTAATTGATAAGGAAAAGTGGCTTATTTGGCTCACAGTTCTGCAGATTGCACAAAAAATGTGGCACCAGCCTCTGCTTCTGGTTAGGGCTTCAGGGAGCTTCCAGTCAAGGCGGAACACAACAAGGGAGCAGGTGTGTCCCATGGAGAGAGAGAGAGCATGCATGCACGCACTCTGGTGTGGACTAATTACCACAGAGAGGGCACCAAGCCATCAGTGAGGGATCTGCCCCCATGACCCAAACACCTCCCACCAGGCCTCACCTCCCACACTGGGGATCAAATTTCAACATGACATTTGGAAGGGCCAAACATCCATACCATACTAGGAAATGTTATGATTTTTTTTACCCTTTCACTGAAATATTGAAACGAGTTAAGGCTGGTTGTGGTAGCTCGTCTATAATCCTAGCACTCTGGGAGGCCGAGGCAGGAGGTCAGGAGTTCACTTGAGGTGAACTCATGACTCACTTGAGGTCATGAGTTCAACACCAGCCTCAGCAAGAGCCAGACCCCCATCTCTACTAAAAATAGAAAGAAATTAGCCAGGCAGCTTAAAGTAGAAAAAATTAGCTAGGCATGGTGGCGCTTGCTTGTAGTCCCAGCTACTCAGGAGGCTGAGGCAGGAGGATCACTTGAACCCAGGAGTTTGAGGTTGCTGTGAGCTAAGCTGATGCCATGGCACTCTAACCTGAGCAACAGAGCGAGACTCTGTCTCAAAAAAGAGAGAGAAAAAGAAAAGAGTTAAAATGAGTGCTACTGGGGAAGACCTGAAGTTTGCAAGCCTAGAGATTCCACCCAAGTGTCAAGAGCTGAAGTCAGCTTAGTCCCTCTCATTTTTCAGGGTCCTGTAAGTGCCTGGAAAAAAAGACATTTGGGACATTGACTTTCACACTATACTGAAGAAGTAAGTCTCAGATTAACAGGAGGTGGAAACTGGGCTGTGTGGGGAAGGGGTAGGTAAAGAAACTTGATCATTGGTTACTTACTAGGTACCAGACACTGCC